ATGTACATGCCTACAGGGTTTATATATCTCATCAGTTGACGCGATACGCAATATTATGCTTTACGTATTAACAATTTTTAATTCGAAGTAATTTATTGACAAACAAAAATCTCAGCTATTGTGTTTATGGCACCATTTGGTAATTTCTCATGGCGATATAATGATATTTCATGCTTATTTTTACATTAAGGTCATTATTTACACATTAAATTTTAGTTGGATTTTTCCATTTTCTCCCGATCATGACAAGGAACACACGGCGATGTGACCAGTCAACAGGAGATGTTTACTCCTGTATGGCTTCTGATCCCACAGCTGATGTTATAGAGGTCATTGTTCTGCTCCAAAAATGTATTGTTAAATGGACTTTTGAGCTTGAATTCTGTTCGTTATCTCCATATATTTACATCCGCTGAATATTTTCTTCTTTATTTCTTAAGAAAACCCATTGCGTTCATCCCTGCATAAACTACATTAGGCATATCACCTGTACAGATTTCTTGATCAGTGGCCGTTCCATCAATGAAACGTACAAAGACTTTCGCATCATTAACATAATAATTAATATTTTTAATCCTACTTAAAATGATAATTTAAACAGATATAAATATAAACAATAAAATGTCTTTCTTTGTTTGTTGTTACTGGAATGAACGGTCGCAGCTATTGCAGAAAAAATTAACATAACCCGCTTACGCGGGTTATGTATTTTTTCTGCAACAGCTGCTTCCGTTCATTCCAGTAACAACAAACAAAGAAAGCATTTTATTGTTTAAATAGTTCATGTCCTTTAATGCGCCTGTTCCTACCCCTGGTTTGGAGGTTCTTGTTGCTCTGCTCTCGATTTGGTTTGTATGAATAGATAATAATAGCCTTAATAATGTTCGCTCTCTTCATATTTCATTTTCTGTTATTTTGAAGTGACATAAAAATCAGTTTTACATATAACACATGTATTGTATTGTATTGTATTGAAGCTGGTTATTTTAATTTTGTCAAAGATACAAGAGAAGCATTTTGAACAAAGGGTGTTTGTGCCCTCTTATATTCTTTACAGTTTTTTTTCTTTGGATGACATTTAAGGTAGGTCCGTACTTTCAGAATTTTCTACCAAACTGATAATTTTTTAATTTGAATACCTTGAACAATTCCTAAACTTACTAAAACACCCATAGAAGAAGACATATCTTTGCAGGTTAATTTTCATGTAACATGTCTCAGCGCACATACCTCTAAAAATTCAACAACCAAAATTGAACATAAAAAAGTGTGAAATCATATTTCTCTTAGTTATGCACCAAAACACATCAAATTTATGTTAAAAATTATGAAGATCAAAAATATTCATTTGCCAAGAGAATATTTGAAATCTTTACTGCAAAACATTAACAAATTGGTGTTGAATCTGTCTATGTCTTTCAGAAAAAAAATCTCAAAATATCTTTATTTTTTATAATTCTCAAAATCCAAAATGTTTAGATGCCATTTTTTCTTTAAAACTATTAAGAATTATATCTATTGTTAACAAAAACAGCTACTTTATGATGGTTGACCGGAGAATTTTATCACAACAGTCTTTTGAAGACATATACCCCCATTTTTGGCATATCAATTTTTTTCAATTATTCAATGCAAAATTTTTAAAAAGTAAAAATTAAATGGATGATATAGGTTCTAAATCAATAAAAATAGACCTCAGGTTAGTTTGCTTAAAAGAAAATTATAAAAGATTTAGAACCATAAAAGCAATTAAGAATTTTGTGTCTGTGTATGACAGAATGTAAAGTGTTAATTTCCATATAAATAATGTATATTAAATGCTTCATATGCACAATAACACTAAAATAAACAAATATATTCTTGCTAAGTCATTTTCAATCACCCAAAAATATTTATATCAATAGAAAAGTGAAAATCAGAATTTTATATTGATGTGTAAAATTAGAACCGGATCCGTAAAAGTGTGGACTTTCCTTAAAGGTTACAAATATTGAACTGTAAAATCCATTACGAAGCTAGCATGATAGAATTTAGTCTGAGTAGGAATTTTCCGAAATCATATTCCTCTTTCTTTAACAAAACAAAGACTAGACATTCTTAATAAAACCTTTTAAATTAAAGGGATTTCCTCTGGGGTATATTCAACAAAAAAAAAACCTGTAAAAAATAGATTAGTTAATCATTGGTTTATCTAGACTTTATAATTAGATTTAAATCTAGCCTTATGTTTGAAAATAGCAATTGTGATCAATTATAATGAGACACGAACTCTAATGATAATGAATTGTTTTGATTACTTTTAAAGGACTCTGAATCCTGACAATAGATATTTATAAATCAATAAAAATAGTTCTTTTCCAATAGAAAAAAAAAATGATTTTTTTTTTATTCCTGTTACCAGTCACGTAGAAATCCATATCAAAAAAGGTTTTTAAAACTCAGAACGGAGACCCATTTTCATCTAACTGTATGTATTTTATTTTAACTTAGCTGTATGATTTTTGTAACGTTTGATGTCAGTACATTCGGTACTTTATGCACCGTCCTTTCCTGTTGTACATGTGAAACCAACTTATTTAAGGGATATTTTTGAGTGTGTAGATATCATATAAACTATGTTATATAGCACATTGCGTTGGACATAATAAAATAGCAAATATAAGTTTTCACTGTTATGAATCAATGTATTCTTTACATTATTTTGACGGACATTTCGATTTTTATCATCAATAATTCAGGGGGTGATGGTGCCATACAAACATTATTGATTTTGAATAACATTAAGTGTAATTTTAAAAGCATAGATTATAATGAATGACACCAATAATCTAAATCAGTTTGTGTCTTGTTCGGGTATAAAGAAGATGGCAGGTATTTCCAAAGCTAAAAATAGAATAAATTGGTTTAATTTTCGGAAACCGTTATTTATATAAGAAATTTATTTATAATGGTAAATTCCAAGAAAATGAAGAAATGAAATTTATCTACAGTATATAATCGAGATTTTCGTGTTTTTTAAAAGTCATAGTTTTACAGCCTGTTAGGATTAAGTGAGTATTAGCCATTAATTATATTAATACATGTACATGCATTCTTTAAAATAATCTTTCTTTATGTTTAAGCATTCAAAGGCATATATGATTTCATCAATTTTGAATGAAACTAGCTAGTATTTCAATGTAGTTTTTTTTTCTCATCATGAAATTAAAAGATTTTAGACACACAGTATTTAATTGTTTGTTGCATGAAGTCCCCCTTGAGATTTTTGCAATCGTACATCTATGCATACATGGAGAAAATACCAATTGTCTTTGGAGGGCTATAAATATAGAAATATGCTCAGCACTTCGTGCTTTTCCGTAATAAAGGGTCTTGATAAATTCATTTATTACCTTGATTTATGCGGTCTATTCCAAATGACAGGTCTCAACGTACCGCAGTTGGAATCGTGCCCTCAACGCAAACGTCAAACTTTGTATTCCAAGATTATTGCCAAACGGTTTAACCAATCTGCTTCTCGCAGGCGACGATGCATAGTGTATTCCGTTTATACTTTATATAGTATTATTTTGAGGAAATATATATTTTTTAATTTTAAAAAATAGAAATATTGTGCATACTTTAGATAGTGAGATGCTCATCTTTAGGGCTAAGATCGGGATTGTAATGAGCATGTGCAATTTTACGTTTTGAAATTTTAACTTCCATTCTGAGCACCAAAAAGATTATTCCATGTGAAAGTGTCTTCTATGGTATCGCAATGGATTAAATGGCCCGCTATTGCCTACTTATGTTTGCTATACGGCTTTTTTTCAAGAGCAATAGCTTGTCATGTAAAGTTATGGTAAGTGGTAGTGTGACGTCGTGTACATGTGAAAATTACTTTCGTCGGTGTTTAGTGTACAATAACGTTGTCATATATTGTCGTAAAGAGAAAAAATGTTTTGTCGTATAGTGAACTGTCACGCTGCTAGTAAAACGGTAATATCATAAATTGTGCTTATTAATTATCTTTTTGTAATATAAATATATAATGAGAATGTATGATGTTATTTGGTTGCAGTCATTTCGAATAAAACTTAGAAGACGTAATAAACAATACGGCATTGTTCAAAATTTAACAACGCATTGTGTGCGATACGATAACGCACTGTTGTATCACAAACAATGCGTGATCGTATCGCAAACAATGTGTAGTCAAATTTTGAACAATGCGCTGCTGTACTGTTTCTAGCATCTTCTAAGTCTTATTCGAAATGATTGCAACCAAATACCATCATACATTCTTATCATATATTTAAATTACAAAAGGATAATTTAAAATAAGCATAAGGTAATGATATTATCGTTTTACTAAGAGCGTGACAGTTTGCTTAAAGGGGCGTGCTAAAATTTTGTATGCTGATCATCAGCTGCATTTTACTAATCTATTGGGTGTTTGATCTCAATGGTATCAATAATACTTTGCATATGAAACACAGAACCCAGCAAAACCACTGACAAAACTGACCAATCGTATTGAATGACTGTTTACTATGGTATTCAGTGAACAACAATTACATGTGGAGGACAAAGCAAGTTTTACTTCCTATAATGATGATATTGATGATACATAGTACAACAGTAGCAGAGTAGCCTCACTAATTTCATTCTTTAAATTTTCTTATACGCAGTTAAAACCCTAAACGGTCAATTCACAACAAATTTTGGACGGCAGAAAATGGACTTCGACTGATCACTTGTTGCTGCTGACTACAAATGCCGTACTTGTAAACAATCATTCAATGTGATTAATCAGAATTATCAAGGTATTCTTGTATTTTGAGTTATATGCAATTAGAATTCATTTCATTAAAATCAAACATCCAATCGATGAGTAAAATGTTAACCAGCACACCCATCAGCAAACACAGGAAACTGTCAAACTCTTAGTAAAATGATGATAATAACAATTCAATTTTCATTTTTTTTTTCTACAGAACTCGGAAAAAGAGGGTTTCAATATGAATCTGGTTATAATTATCACTCTCCTAGTTTCTGTGACTATCCAAGTGTTGTCAACCACTTGTGAGTCAAGAAACGGTATGTACATGTATTGGACACTGTCTTTTTTGTTCTTATTGTTAATTTTTAAATGTTCTGTTTGTATATTGGGAAAAAAGGTTTTGAGAAAATACATACTAGCACCAAAAATTTTGAGGTAGAGAAAAAAAGATATTTCGTAAGTGAACAGCTTATTTCTATTTGTAGGAAATTATAAAGAACATTGCAGGAGGAGTACTTCAGGTATGTTTATACCCCGGTATTTGCAAGAATGGCATGTACATGCATCCAACATTTACCAGAAAAATGGGGACAGAACAGAGCAAACATAATCTTTAATTCAACATTAGAAAAAAGAGCTTGTACGGTTCTACGAGGGGGTTCGAACGGGGAGCACATTAAGAAATGCAGGCGAGGTCATAGAGAGTCTTGGTATGAAATTTCATTGCAGAAGCTTAACAGCTTCTTGAGATATCAAATGGAAATTATAGTTTTGCACACACAGACTTTTTAGATTACGACTTTGATCTTTGACCTTTTGACCTCAAAAAAAGGAAATATTGTTCTTTCTTAGGCCAAAGGGTATAATATTTCATTGAAAAAGCTAAAAAGCTTCTCGAATATTAATGTCATGCGGAAACTTCCGTAGGCCATTAGGGAGGTCTTGCGTAAACTTTTAATGCAAACGTATGAAGACTTTTTGAGATATCGCGTGTAAACGAACGTTTAACAGACAGACAGAAATACACGTAGAGCAAGACAGACGAACAACAACGGAGAGGTCTCGAACTTAATATCCCCCACTTGCAGTGAAAGGGGGGGGCAAATATTTTTGATCGGGTTTAAAGTATGCAGACAGTGTTTGCAGTAGCTTCTTGTAAGTCAGAAAAATGGTACTCTACTGAAGATTTCCTTTTTCATGAAGGGGTCCTTGTACTACTACAAAGATATAAAATGTACTTTTCATAGAAAAGCAACCAGTAGCATTTCTTTTGTCCCCATTTATTTCAATATGACTCTAACATTTTTTATTGTTTACATTCCTTCTGTCGACATAGACAATCATTTTTGACCTTTCGAATTCCAATTACGAGTTTTTAGTAGCTTGGTTATAAGAAATTATTTTTATTTTTCTTTAAGAATCTGATCGCGAAGTACGTATGTTACTTATTGGGAAGACTGGAGTTGGTAAAAGTACCACCGGCAACACCATATTAGGATTTCCTGCATTCGAAACCAAAATATCTGCAACCTCTGTGACAGCCAATACACAATTCGACGAAACAGAGAGATTCGGCAAACAATTGGTCGTCATAGATACTCCAGGTCTTTTTGATACAAATCGAACAACAACCGAAGTTCTTATAGAAATGTCCAAATGGTATTCTCTAGCATCTCCCGGAATTCATGCTATACTCTTAGTAGTTGAAATCGGAAGAGTTACTGGTGAAGAACAAAAGACAGTTGATTTCTTCCTGAAAGCTTTCGGTGACGAGTTGAAAAAATTCCTGATTGTAGTATTTACCCACAAAAACAAACTAGACGAAGAACATATGACTATTGACGACTTTGTTAGAACGATGGATAAAACTTCAAACTTGAAAATTATTATTGATGAGATAGACGAGAGGTATATCGCCATCGGCCTTAAAGGTCGAAGAGAAGACCGAGATAAAGAAGTAAGCCAAATACTGTCCATGATTGAAACGATGGGAAAGAAAAATGGGCGGTCATACTATAGCAACAATATATTTCAACGAGTGGAAAATATAATAAAAAACCATGTAAAGGAAGAAATTGAAAAGTTAAAGAGCCAAGAGAAAACGTACACACAAGAGGAACTTCTGCTCTTACTGAAGGCAGGAAGGTCCGACTCTCGTATTAATATTATCAATGCCAACCAACATGAGGAAGGATTGCTTTCAAAGGTTGTTTCTACAGTATGGTCTGGGTTAATAGCCGCAGGCGCACTAGCAACAAACACAGTCGGTTATGTTTTTTCTAAAGTCGGTGGTTTGTTTGGATTCTGACTTTTCGTACAATTGTCTGTAATTTGTTTTGCTATCATTATTGTTGTGATTTATTATTATATTTTAACTTTGGGGACAACATGAGACAATAAAGCAAACCTTTCACTCATAATTTTTTATGTTTTAGTATAGGAAAATATGTTTTCTTCCAAAGTAATTTTAGTAGCATTTAAAACATAATTTACTCTAAATCAGACGCATTCATTCGTGAATAAATAAGTTTTATAAGATAACCGATTTATTCTTTTTTCAGCAATTAAGAAAGAAAAAAGGGCGAAGGACAAGATGAAAATTCTATTTTCAGATTTTGTTATAAGTTTCGCATTGTTTTGTGCGATAAATAAATGTTTGAAGTTTCGAGCCATTCTTTTTTTTATAAGGGATAAATATTGCTTTAAAATAAATATTGAATGATGACGGGTGATATTCTAAAAATTAGCGACTGCTCAGAATTTATGCGCGCACGGTTCACTATTATAATTTGTATTTGTATAAAATATTCAGTATAATTTAATAAATATTGCATGTAGTTGAGTGTAACATTGAAAATTTTCACCCCAAGAAAACCAATGTCCTCGGCTGCGCCTCAGTCGACAATTATAGTTTTTTTGGCGTGAAAATTTTCAATGCTACACTCAACTACATGCAATATTTATATAATGATAGTTTTGTTTATTTTTTTTCTCGTATCTCAGTCAAAAATATTTTTAAACAAATGAAATGTATATAATGATACTAACAATAAAAGAAAAATAAAGTGCCACGCCACAGCATGATACGCCCGTCAAAAAATTACAATTACAATGTACAGTTAAAAGTGCAGGAAAATCATGTCAACCTTGATTTTAAGATTTCAATGATTTTTCCACACCTTAAAAATTTTGTTTATCCATCTCCTGTAGGCATTAATTATAACAAATATTGCATCATTCACAGATTTCTATACTGGTTGTGTTAGACCTTGCCAAATGCCTATCATATTAAACAATATCAAATTAGTCTTCACAAAGTAATCTATACCTAATTTATTTTGAAATTAAGGTGATTCGAACCTGTCATGAAAGTAATTGGAATTTTAAAACATGGTTACCTTCGGATAAAGGACAAGTTTATGGTTTAAGAATCACAAAAATTATATATGTTAATACGCTCGTTCCCATGGCAACAACCTCTGAATATACCCTTGTTTAAAAATGTAAAATTTGTGAAAAAATTCCCACTGCCAGTAAAAAAAAGGACAAAAAAATTACGAATTATAATCAGAATTTATTTATTTTCATGTATAAAATAGGGTAACAGATCAAGATTATCTTGATGTTATTTACTCATAGAAATTGCATTCCAACAACATTGTATGACAGTCTGAATTTCCTCTGTCCTCTTAAAAATTGTCCATTTTTTCTTAACCTTGAGAACAAAAATGGCTATAAACCCACTCTAAAAGTAATTGGATATTTATTATCTAAACTGTATTTTGAATAAGAGATATATAGCTAAGTAATGGAGGGAAGAAATTGGTATGGTCATGAGTCAAATAAAAAGATATGCTAATCCGAATTTCCTCTGGTCTATTTTTAATAATTACCACAAATTACATATTTTGGCAATTAAGGCTATTAAAATCAATTAAAAGTGATCAATTATCAATTTATTTAATTAAATATGTTAAAAATTAAATTTTATACTTTTGAAGGAAAATTAATGTAAAAAGTTCAAGATTTTAACATTTACATTCCGAATTTCCTCTCTTTTTTTTAAACCTTAAACTTTTGAATTAATACTTGGTGCGTTAAATTAAGAATCCAATATTGTGATATTAAAATTTTCATAATTTTTTCAAAGATGTAATATGTATACCTAATTAGGAAAATAACACTGACATAATTACGCAGTTCATGTGAAAAAAGGTGCACATTAAACATCCGAATTTCCTCTGACTTTTTTTAAAATAACAAATCGATAATGTAAAAGGTTTGCCTATATCAAAAAAATCCTTGGACTGATCTTTCCCTTTCTTTTAAAATATACTGGAAAGTGGAACATAATGAGATATTACATATAATCCAATTTCTGTAAATTAAGAATCTGATCGACAATTAACAATCCAAATTTCCTCTGTCTGAACACACATACAGGAATTTTTAACATTGAAAAAAAAAATAGAGATAAAGGTGTGACAAAAATGACAATTCACTTGTATCAATGCTAAACTTTTGCAAGCTTAAACTTAGTAAAAGCATATAAGGGCACACTGAATCGGGGAAAAACAGATTTTATTAGTATAACAAAGTTTCTCAAAAAAGCATATCATAAACATGCATGCTGCAGGTCTGTTCATACAGAAGTGCTTAGAATCTTAAGGGAGATTCTGACACAAATCTTTCTTCACTTTTTTCCCAACTTCAATCGTTTGACCATCTGTGGCTTTCATTTGGTAAATTTCTGATGAACATGTAGGTCTATAATAGCAGCTCAAGTATAAACATTTCAGTCTTGTTGACACGTGGCCGAATCAAATATAGATGTGATTCTCAGCCTGAAAAAAAACTTTACTTCAGTTAAAGCCTTAATGACAAGTGGACACAGAATATACCTGTAATAATGTAACATCTATTGCCTATTACTGATTGATTATTGGTATTTTAATCATAATAGTTCAACTGAAATAAAAATAGCATGATACCTAAAAAAATAATATTTACATTCCTCATGTAATAAGCCTATAAAATGAGTAGAATTTGGGGCATATAATACACCATTACATGGTCGGTGAGGTCAAAAGATAAAATTTTTTTTTGTATTTTATATTAATGTCACAAACCTTGAATGTCATGCAACATTATAAGGGAAAAATAAAAATTCACTCTCACATAGAAGAGTCTAACACACATGTATAATGTAGTAGATTTGGCATGGCTCTTCCATTATTTTTAGTTCACCTGAGCCGAAGGCTCAAGTGAGCTTTTCTGATCAAAATTTGTCCGTTGTCTGTCGTCGTTGTCGTCGTCGTTGTTGTTGTCGTCGAAACTTTTCAAATTTTCATCTTCTTCTCAGGAACCACTGGGCCAATTTCAACCAAACTTGCTACAAAGTATCCTTGGGTAAAGGGAATTTCAGTTTGTTCAAATGAAGGGCACGCCCTTTTCCAAAGGGAGATAATTATGAATAAGAGAAAAAATTAATGGCATTTTTAAAAAATCATCTTCTCAAGAACCACCAGGCCAGGAAAGATGACACTCATGTGGAATCATCCTAAGGTAGTGTAGATTCAAGTTTGTTCAAATCATGACCCCCGGGGCAAGGGTGGGGCCAAAATGGCCGACCCAAGTTTTACATAGGAATATATAGGAAAACTCTTTAAAAATCTTCTTCTCAAGAACCACTGGGCCAGGAAAGATGAGACTCATGTGGAATTATCCTAAGGTAGTGTATATTTAAATTTGGTCAAATCATGATCCCCGGGGCAAGGGTGGGGCTAAAATGGCCGCTATCAAAGTTTTACATAGGAATATATAGGAAAACTCTTAAAAAATCTTCTTCTCAAGAACCACTGACCAGGAAAGATGAGACTTATGTGGAATCATCCTCAGGTAGTGTAGATTCAAATTTGTTCAAATCAAGATTCCCAGGGGAAGGGTGGGGCCAAAATGGCCGATCAAAGTTATACATAGGAATATATAGGAAAAGTCTTTAAAAATCATATTCGAAAGAACCATTGAGAGAGGAAAGATGAAACTCATGTAAAATTATCCTCAGGTAGTGTAGATTCATAATACAAGTTTGTTCAAATCATGACCCCCGGGACCAGGGTGGGGCCAAAATTGCCAACCCAAGTTTTACATAGGGATATATAGGGAAACCTTTTAAAATGTCCTTTTCAAGTATTCAAAACCATGATTAGTAATATTTATATGGAATCATCCTCAGGTAGTGTAGATTCTAGTTTGTTCAAATCATGAACCCCCGGGGGGTTAAAATTCAAGCCCCCCCCACCTCAGTAAACTTTTAGTTCTGAGCTGATATGTGCTTTTTCCTAGCCGATGTGCTCAGGTGAGCGCTGTGGCCCCTGGGCCTCTTGTTAACTTAACCAAAGGATAATTTGCAGATGATGCAGAGAGTTAAAAATGTGAATACATCTATATCAGTGTTTGAAATAACCGTGCGCCCGACTGCCACAGATGCACAAGTTTTGTCTAAGATGAAGAGATTTGCACCTACTGAGGTCAGCTCGCTTGACGTTTAAAAATTTCCCATAAATTGAAATTCGGATATTTGATAAAACTCTCAAACCAACTTATATTACTGGTTACAAAGTGTAACACGCAAACAGGTAGAATTCAACAGCCTATAGGTCTGGGATTGAATATGTAGTGAGCTGGCCCTATTCACATTATTGCTAAAACAAACTTATACATGTACCGGGTATTATTTTTTTTATTATTATTATTTTTGGGATAAAACATTTTTAGCAGGGTTCTGGCTAGTACATTTTCTCAGGGTTCAGGCTTAGCCTCGTACATTTTTGGCAGGATGGACAACTTTCAATAGCAATCAGCCCTGCATGTCTAGCTAATTTTACAGTGAGTTTAATGCACTGTGTATATGCATTGCATTTTTATTTTCTGATGCACATAACTCAATTTGTTTGGATAAAACAATCACTGTTAAGGTACAGCGCCGCCTCAAAAGTATTCGCGGAAAAACAAAATGGCCGATTTTTTATTTTTAAGTTTCAATCAAAAAATGATTCTTACCCCATTATTCCTCGATTGTTGATTAATTTAGAGTTATCTCCCGTATTCTTATCACATGACCAATGACCTAATCTGATGACGTATCACTGTTTTCGTCTGCTATTTTTATCGTTGGGTGAATTCCAACATGGGACGCAAGTCAAAAGAAATTAGCAATGAGGTTAAAAAACTGGTCGTTGATTTAAAACAAGAGGGAATCAGAAACTGTGAAATTGAGAGATTGTTGAATTTACCTGAATCAACAATTCGGTCTATATGGACACGATTTATTAACAACGGAAATGTTGAAAATACGCCTCGAACCAGCAGACCTCCAAAAGGTACAAAGCGGGCAGAGAGTAGACTTTTGAGACTCGTTAGAAGTAACCGTGAGAGACCGTTGCGAGATATTACTGCGGATTTTAATACAGGAGGACCAGTACACGTTCACCATAAGACTGTCCAACGAATTTTACATAGGAACAAGGTTTTCAGGCGAGTTGTGAGGAAGACAATGGTCGTGAGGGATGTAAACAAAAGAAAACGACTTTCGTGGTGTCTTGCGAGGAGGAGATGGACAGTGCAGAATGAATGGAAGCAAATTATATTCACAGATTGTGATCGGACAAAATAATCGTGTATATGTGTGGCGATCTGCAAATGAGGCTTACCGTCCGCAGTGCATGTGTCCTCGACCTAAAAAGTGAGTGTCAATAATGATATGGGGTTGTATAACATGGCCTGGCATCGGAACTTTATGCAAAGTTGATGGAAATATAAATGCTGTAAAGTACCAAGAAATCCTGGAAAACAATCTCTGGCCTGTTTTAGCCCGTCATTTCTCTAACATTACAGAACTTACCGGTTTCAGGACGATAATGCCCCTGTGCATCGCGCACGAATTATTGAAGAATATAAACGTGACAATGATATAAACTGTCTGACCTGGCCTGCCCAGTCACCAGATTTAAAGATAATAGAAAATATATGGCTTCGCATAAAAAATGATCTTCAAAACACTGCCCGAAACATAAAAACTCCAGATGAACTTTTCAACGCCATTTACGATCTTTGGACTTCCTATCAGCCAAATTATGTCCAGAATTTGTACAATTCACTTCCAAGGAGAATTTTGGCAGTAATTCGATCGAAAGGTTGCTTGACAAAACATTAAAGTAAGTGTTTTTAATTTTTTAATATTTATTTCTCCCCAAGACTTTTGAGACGGACTTTGTTTATAACGTCAGCCATTTTGTTTTTCCGCGAATACTTTTGAGGTAGCGCTGTAGGTCCGTACTTTCAGAATTTTCTGTCAAACTAATAATTTTTTAATGTGAATACCTTGAATAAGTCTTAAACTAACTAAAACACCCATAAAAGACATATCTCTGCAGGTTAATTTTCATGCAACATGTCTCAGAGCACATACCTCTAAAAACTCAACAGACAAAATTGAACAGAAAGAAGTGTGATATCATATTTCTCTTAGTTATGCACCAAATCACATCAAATTTATATTAAAACTTATGAAGATCAAAAATATTAATTTGCCAAGAGAATATTTGAAATCTTTTCTGCAAAACATTAACAAATTGATGTTTAATCTGTCCATGTCTTTCAGAAAAAAATCTCAAAATATCTTCATTTTTTATAATTCTTAAAATCCAACCTGTTTAGATGCCATTTTTTCTTTAAAAGTATTAAGAAATATATCTAATGTTAACAAAAACACATACTTCATTATGGTTGGCCAGAAAATTTTAACAATACAGTCTCTTTTGAAGACGTATACCCCCAATTTTGGAATATCGATTTTTTCAATTATTCATTGCAAAATTTTTAAAAAGAAATAAATAAATGGATTATATAGGCTTTTAATCAATAAAAATAGATCTCAGGTTAGTTATTAGCTTAAAAGAAAATTTAAAAAGATTTAGGTACATAAAAGCAATTAAGAATTTTGTGTCTGTGTATGTACTAAATGACATATAGATCTTATGGACAAAGTGCAAAGTGTTAATTTCCATAAATAATGTATATTAAATGCTTTGTATGCACAATAACACTATAATAAATAAATATATACTTGCTTAATCATTTTCAATCACCCAAAAAGATTAAAATCAATAGACAAATGAAAATCAGAATTTTGTATTGATGTGTAAAATTAAAACCGGATCCGTAAAAGTGTGGGCCTTCCTTAAAGAGACAACATCCTTTAAAAAATAATAATCAAATGTATAATTACAGTGCTAACAAAGCTGGTATCAGTTTCAGTACATTTGTATACTATATATTAAGGTTCATGTTCGCCCGCTTTATTTTTGCCCTTTCACACTTGCAAACAATTTTGCCCCATTTTAAAGCCGAGTAACATCTTGTTTAAGAAAATATACTGTATTCTTTGAATTCGCCAAACCGAGGTCAGGGACAAAGGGGCGACAATAAAACGGGGCAAAAATTTCCCGGTATACAGTAATATGTACATTTTATCAGTCTGACATGCACTATACTTACTTTACATGCATTAGGAAGTTTACTTGAATTTTAATTTGAAAACATTATCATTTTAGAATTATATTTTTTTCATACCCAGCTAGATGTTTTCAGCATCACAGTTGTCTTCTAGTGCATCTGGATCAAAAGATTTGCTGCCAAGTGTTGACTTAGGTTGTACATTTTGACTGCCTATTGATGGAAACTCCAGTCTGTTCCTTTGGCGGTTATTAAAAACCTATTGAGATAACAAATCACTCGTCTGACAGTATTCAACTTACATGTGAATTTTATAGACATTTCTTAAATTTCACAGACCTTCCTTATAAATTTATTTCCGAACAAAAACTAATAAATAAATGTGTGCTGTAAACAAGAATCAGGGGCCTCAATAATGTTTCAGAAAATAAGTATAATATGAGAATTGGTCAACTGTCTTTTTATACAAAAAGCCTTTTTATCATGTTATTTTACACTGCACATCACCTAACATTACATGAATTAGGTAACACATAATCTCATATTTCAAAAATCATAAACATTGGACCTTTTTTTTCAGTCACTGTCAATATGACAAATGTGCATGATTTTGTGCTATTTTCTCATTGAATGAATTCAATAGATCTATTGTTTGAAAAGGCAAGTACAAAATATCGTAATCACGAGAATAAGAATTCACTGCATCAGTGGTGTCATTGACTCATTCCGGCGCGTCGATTTACCCAAATGGAACCCAAATGGACCCAAATGGAAATTCAAATGGACCCAAATGGAAATCAAAAGGAATATTAAATATGTATTATCGTATTTTAATACTTATTTAAATGATAAAAATAAATGAACTTACAGTTACAAATGGATTTTTTAACTTAAAAATCTGTAATATTGTATTTTGAAACATGAAGTTTTGATAGTATCCTATATACCGGCAAAATAATTGGGGGGTAGAGGCAGGGGGTGTCATGGCCTCCACCTCCCCCCCCCCCCCACCTCCATTCCTACGGCCATAAAAAATATCAAATACTTCAGTTTTGTATTCAAGTATGTTCAATAATAGTTATTACAAATAGAATTAAATCGCATTTTTGAAAATACAATTGAAGAAAATAATGAAACAGATATTATAATATTTTCTATTTGTTTTAATTTCATTATTCTCTATATTTTAAATAAGTAGAAACTTGAAATAAGATATAATATATATATTTTATATTCCATTTGGGTCCATTTGATTTCCATTTGGGTCCATTTGAGTTTCCATTTGAGTTTCCATTTGGGTTCCATTTGGGTCCATTTGGGTCCATTTGGGTAAATCGACGCACCACTCATTCAACTGTTCAATGCACGGGTGCGTCGACTTACCCAAATGGACCCAAATGGAACCCAAATGGAAACTCAAATGGACCCAAATGGCGACCCAAATGGCGACCCAAATGGACCCAAATGGCGATCCAAATGGACTAATAGAAGACTCAGAGATACTCTGAATCATATTTTAGTAAAATAGTAGTACGTGGACTAACAAACACTTCCCTCACGTTGTTTTCCCCATTCTGGCACATACTCAATACGGAGAGGACCTCATCAACAATGTTGTGGAGTTTAGTGGTATGCTGGCCGTTGTCTGTCTTTTTGGAGTCTCTGTATACTTTGTCCCTAATTTGTTTGGCATTTGGGGCGTTAATTGAATCCTCCAGCATCATCTGGTGACTTGTCTTGAGGGGCTTTTGGTGTGATTCTTTGGTGATTCTTGCTGCCTCTTGAAGAATGGCCGGGTCTGTACGAACATAGGGAACAGATGCTCTAGTACAGTTGCCATGTGGGATCTTCTCAGATTTATAAGAGCCGAGGTATTCGACGATCGCAACTTGTTCTTTGTCCTGGTGAGGAGGTGGTAATTTTGTAAATATGGTTAGTTAATACCCTCCTCTTGTACTCCTCGGCGGTCTTTAACTTCGAGTAGGATCGATGGCACTTCACAACAACGTCTTCTTCCGGCTGTGGTTCTATTGGAATGTAGTGTCTTTGATTTTGTATCTTCTTTTCCACGCACAGAAGGTTGTCCCTAACGACCACTGTTTTAAGAGAATCGTCTTTTTCTACAAAAGTAGAGTTAACCGTCGTACCGGCACGTCCCCATACACCACAATCGTCCGGGAACTCGTATTTGTTGGACACGGTCCTCTGTATAAGTACAAACACGTTTTGTTTAGGTCCGGGTGGTATTTTGTTAACAAAGTCCTGTGTTTTCGATGTTGTAATAATTTTGTAGGCGGAGGCTATGGACAGGAACTGGCCGTCTGGAAGATCCTTTAACGGCGTGTCCCGCGGATCCTCTTCATCCTGGTTACACTCCATGTCCTCTATATCGTCCTCGTCGTCCTCGAATACAGAAAAGCGATTTGACACATTAAAGGAAGAATGGAAGCTGTAGTCTGAAGCGGACAATGGGGATAATGGTTTTGGTCTTTTGGAACCAAGACTTATTCAAACGTAATATCATTGATAATCCTTATTGCTCTTGTGGTAAACAGGAAGATGCCTTTCATTTTTTAGTAAGTTGTTAGAAGTTGTTCTTATACTTGCTTGTGAATAAAATATGTTCAAAACAATATATTCATAAATCAATGTTGGCTAGGTGGGAATAAACCATTAAATACATTTAAGGGGTAACAACTACTACCATATATAGGGGTGTGTGTATATAGCGGCTACTGAAAGATATTGGAGCATGGTCGGGTAATAGGTTATCAAAACATCATGGGAATCTCAATTAATTTGAGTAGCTTATTTACCAATCAGATCAGTAGTAATGTTTTCATTCTATAATTTGTAAAATTATCGTCCTATAAAAACATTCTAATTTTCAATAAAGAGGTCGTTAAGGCTCTGTAATTATAGAATTTGATTCTATTTTATAATACGTTATAAGAATTTAATAAAATAAGATGAGACATTTCATTTAATGCTTAATAATTGAGCTTATAAATTAACTACTTATTTAAGACATACAAAGAATTTCAAAGTTAAAAAAACAAAAATTTTATAAGGTCTTGTTTTTGTAGAATGACTGTTAATTAACATTCACAATAACACTAAAACGCTACATAATTCTACAGGAAAAAACTTACCTTTTTGATCCGCTCCATCCCCATAAGAAAATCGAACTTCCCGTCATCGGAACGACACAAAACACACACATAGTCCTCAGGAATTTCCGAGAATAATTTTAAGTCATCAGCTGATAAGTTTTCACAAGCACTGTGAAACCATTTGTCACCCACTGCACAAAACACACAAGAATTGACACAGTTTTTTCTGCAACCACCAAACGGCCACTCGTTTTTCTTCTTCTGTGCTTGTTTACGCATCATTGTGGGTACTGAAATGCACAAATTCAAAATGTTAAAAAAACATCATACAAACGATACAGTATATATATTTATATATATATCTATATTTTTCATTTTTTATTTTCTAATCCTAAATGATAGAAACATTTTAAACGTGAAGCAAATACCGGAATATAGTAAAAATCTGTTTGATAAAAATTGATTCAATGGACTGATAGAGAGGTAAAAAAAGGGCTCAAACACGATGATCTATTTAAAACTTAGATAATCAATTAAAGCCATATATGGCGTATGTACAATGAAAATTATTAGACTAAAATTATAAGAACTTATCATTTGTATCATTACTTTATGTAAAGATAGAACTTTTCCGTAAATTATAAAATCTAAATCAATTGCGTTATAAAGATATCACAATTTAATTTGGATTCTCGGAATTTTCTCCGACTCGGAAGAAAATACAAAAGATTTAAATAACACATTACAGAGAAGTTAAAATCGTATTTTTAGATGAAACGAGGTGTTCCCCGTGTTCAGAATTGTATGAAAAGCTTTAATTTAAATGTATCAACTTTATTCATTTACTTAATTTTTTATTTTTCAAAAATATATTTTTTTGATCAGTTACTCTATATATGGCTTTAATTTTTCTTTTTATTTCGATGGAATATAATGATATAATTACACACTAAGTAATTATGACACTTACCTTTAAACAGCAACTTCATTAGTTGAAAATGCAGCAATTGAAAAATACAGTGTTTATATAATCATTGGATCTCATCATTAAGTTCTCAATTGTATCGAAATACTTGAATGGTCCATCCATTTTAAAGAAGGTCATTGGTTAATAATTAAATTAATTATTTACTCCAAAAAAAAAAAAAATCACTTTGTGAAACTCTTCCTGATTGGAAAAAGTATTTTTTTTTTAATTTCATATTTAGAATATCTGAATATCTGAATAAAAAAAACACACACACACACTCATAGGCATTTTTCTTTAATTTAAATCAACAATATTTGTATTACAATGCAAAAATATATAATTCTATATATGTATAAGTGTATGTAAGTCCATTTGGATCGCCATTTGGGTCCATTTGGGTCGCCATTTGGGTCCATTTGGGTCGCATTTGGGTCCATTTGGGTAAATCGACGTGCCGCAATGCACTGCCCATAGCAGCCATGTGATTTCCTCCCCCCCCCTTCATTTTCGATACGACACAAAAGCGTACATTGATCAGATTATACTTCTGCATCTATTCGGTGAGCTATCCTTTCATAATGATGTAAATAAATTGTGTCTACTAAGAAGACATTACGTACTAAACAAAGTGTCATTTAGTGAACAAGTGAAGGCTCAGTCGGAACGTTTTGTACTTACTTGAAAATCATGGTGTACACCTTGATCTTGTCGTGCAGGCTGTACCTAGAAATGAAATCGCCTGGACAGTTGTTGTAAGGTACCATACAGCGTAGATCAGTACACTTCTTGCATACAAAAACACTCGAATAAAGTGTTTTTTCTTTGAAAATAAAAGAGACAGTCTCCCTGTCAACATGGTGGCGGAAAACGGCCAGGGAATTGTCGTAAATTCCTAATGTCGGAAGAAGAATCGAAAAGCCAATGTTGAATAATTTTATCAGAATTCTATTAAAAATTACTTTATTTGTCTTTCAAATTGTTGCTTGTGATCCATTATTTTACTTTGATTACAAAATGAGACGAAAATAATAGTATCACGACATCAGCAGTGATAGGTCTATTTTCAGCAGTTCGAGTTGCGCGGTAGATATGATTTCGTCACGTTCGAATCACCTTAAAAGGCTGGCCATCAAATATAAACTGACCAACAGTTCTAATCTGTCTAATTCCCGAAGGAGACAGATAAGACCATGCTCTGAAGAAATGAAAGAGACATGCAGCTAGCCTTCCTACATTGAACACATTAATTAATCTTTTAACTGGATGCTTGTCTACTCATTACCCCCAAAATAATATGTTAGACGGTGTGACCGTTAGTGAGGGCGGAGCCATGAAGAGAAAATTGCTACCTTTTATTGTTTAATGACAAATCAGTTAAATTCTGAAATTGTATGTCATTGTCAGAGAATCATAACAAAGAACTCGGTTCTTAAAAAAACCTTTTCATTCAAATACATGTAATAAATCTAAGAACTAACTGAGATATTTCATCATGAGACAAAGGGTTGTCTAGCCAGAGCACTAAACGTCGAAGAATGTAGTGGGGAAAGGGAGCGGCATGCACTGGACCAGTAAGGGATTCAACGTACCGAGGTCCAAGAAATGTGATACACCTCGGCCCAACGGCACCTCAAACTTAATGCATGTAACAGTAAACTTGTTCCCAATTATATCCTACAATAATCAACTCATAAACTTTTCTGAGCATCATTTCTTTGTCTTTCACTACTTTTAATTCATATGCTTATTTAACAACACTGATCTGGAAAGCTCAAGTCATTTCTCAACTGTTATTACTCCCATTACATTATCATAGTTATGACGTCATCTAAAGTAAGAACAATATTGTCAAGACCAGATCAGAAGACGAACTCAGATGACCTAAAATACAGACAGATGGTCTACTTCCTGGATGAATCTCATCATCAGACCAAATTTGACTGTGTTACTATCACAAAGGTTGAAAATATAACAGCATCACAACTTTTATGAGAAAAAAAAACTTGCAACGGGTGCATGATTAGGGACATTTATTAGGTCCCTATTGTGATATATCTTTTTTAAAGTTTCTTCTTATTTATTTCTTTTTATTTTACATTAATTAGTAACCCATAATTTAATTATAATGATTATTTTCTTTATTTTAACGAAAAATGTATAGCCTATTTCACTTTTCAGGGTTTTTTTCTGGCTGATGTTGTTAAAACAAATCTGATTTAAATAGTCTTATGAATTTTCTAAATCTAACATTAACACAATCGTTTTGAAAACAGTTATACTTTTTAATTATCTGAAGAAAAAAAACCTCGAAATTAAAAGTAATTTTTCTGGTATCTTTGTCGTTTGAGACTTGGTTAATCATATAATTTCAAAACCAAAACTAGTGAATAGTAGGGTACACTTCTGAGAAGTTCGAATTGAATATTTAACTTTATTGATGTCAAACAAAAATTCTGAATATTTGCTTCATGTTTTTAATAGTTAAACACATTTATAAGGATAGAAAACTATATTGATATGCTTGATGTGTATTACATTAACAGCATGCACTGCAACATTGAAGTCATATAACTTCGTGACTGTATATTTACATGCATTTACTGATACATGCAGACTGAACAACTACCTCTCCAGACTGTACATCATACATTGTCTAACTTAGTTTTTCCTAATTTTAGACTTTACAGTATATATGTAATTCCAATTGTCTAAAAAAATCTTTTCTATATTTTTAAAATTCATATATATCAATTAAGATTTTTGTTTTGATTATTATATTTAAGATACTGAAATTTTGTCATTTGAAAAACTTCATAAAATGAAATATTGAATTTTAAAAATCACAACAAAAATGGGACTCAGACTTCCATCTGTTAAATATTTATATATCTATGTACAAGTAGATATTCATAAACAATTTGGATACCTAAAAAAAAAATTTTTTAAAATATTCCACACATTTATTGAGTCCCTATATTTAGACTTTTCACAGGGTATTAAATTTTAAATATAACTTTTAAAACATATTTAACTGTTCAAAAAAATTGTACAGTATGTTAAAAAAAATACTATATTTCTGGCTTGGTATGTATTGACAATAATCCTGAAGACATTCGTTATTATTAAATTTTATTAACAAATAAATAAAGATTATTTTCCATCTACAGTCTAGTGAAAGGCGCCACATATAGATCCGCTCCTCAATAGTGCAGACGACAGCGCCGCCTGTAGGGAATTTCTAACCAATCAAATGCCGTTATACTTGTGAAGCGCGAACTATAAATAAATCTAAACGTCTAAATTGAAAGTTGGAAGATGGATTTGATTTTAAGTAAAAAACCATTACTACTAATTATCCTTGGATTAAATGGTTTTCACTTTGATGAAAGTCTCATCAACAACGAGAATTTGCGCGTGAATCAAAACGACGCCATTTTACAGGACGCCATATTTGGCGACAAGAATCTCAGTTCCATAGGTATTGTAATTGACATATAGTTTACAATAGATTTCTTTTATTTTTCATATACATACGTGTTACCTAAAGGGAGAGCTTCGCTCTCACGGGCCCTTCGGGCCCGTGAGAGGGCTCCGCCCTCTATTATTGAATCTGCACTATCTACCAGAAAACATTTTTAAAACATATAAAACATCAATGATTTTTTTTTAGATTTCATGTCAGACAATTTTTAATATGCAATTCATATGGACAAGCTGATTCCACCCCACCCCCATAAAATAATTTTTTAAGTTCATAATATTATGTAATATCAGAATAGTTTGATATGCAATATCAAATTAGTTTTAATTACTTCTCATCGAATTCATTTTAAAACTTAGGCTAGCCAACAAGAGCTATTTTTAATCCAACAGGCTTACCCATTTGGCCCAATACTCAAGGGATATAGATGGCACCGATGCTCTTACAGCTACTCCTCACACTAAACTCATTAATTTCTCACTCTAATTTGACGTGAAAGTTTCTGTTATCAAAATTCTTCTTGACCAGTGCTTGATAATTAGACGCATGGGAGTGGTGGAATTTCTCTAACATATATTATATTTGTTATATTTGTTATAGATTGCTGTCAAGTATATGCTATAAAAAATAAGTATTTTCTTGGTTTAACATTTTTCTAATAAGGATAGTGCAATAGTTTGACATTTTTTTGAATGTGTAAATGAGTAGAAAAAAAGACATTTTTTTAAATTTCACTTAAATTAAAGGTCACAGTGACCTTGAAATAGGTCGCGACACACCTTCTACCTAAGATGCATAAACTGGCCAAGTTTGATGATTCTAAGTCTAATACTTTACTAGTTATGGACCGGACAGGATTTTTCCATATTTGGCTATAACTTTTTAATTATAGGTCAGAGCGACCTACTTTTTGTGCGCGACACACCTTCTACCCAAAATGTATCAGCTGACAAAGTTTGATAACTCTAGCCCTTATAGTATTAAATTTAAAGTTATGAGCCGGACACGAGAAAAGCTAACAGACGGACAGACGGACGGACGCGAAGCCTATAACATAATACGTCCCGTTTTAAGACGGGCGTATAAAAAGGAAAAAGACCGTTCGTCTTGCAGTCTAACCTTAGAGGGTTCGCGCCCCGTTTGGGACTTATCTTTCTTAATTTTCATTTCTTTAAATTCTTTTTCAATATTTTTGCAAAGTAAAGAAATGTGTAAACTCAACATTTATGATTTGTGAGAATAAATCATTATGAAAATAATTTTTCACCTATAAAACAGTTTTATCGACTGCGTAATTGTGACTTAATGGTAGCTTAATAATGGCTACATGGTAGCTTCATAGAGTTTGGACATAAGGCTTAATGGTGGCTTAACGATGACCATTTAATTCTAAAAGCTACCATTAGGTAACAATGACAAGACTTTATTCTCATAAACTGTACAAAACAGTATAGAGAGGATATAACACAAAATATTTACAATTAATTAATTAAGCATGCGTGAGACAAAGAAAAAAAGAAAAAACAATGACAATGTCACAGACCAAGAGAGCCGACTCTCTCCATTATAGTTCCAATAAATTTACATAACTTAATTAATTTTTCCCTGTTGTTCAAATTAAATAGTTGGTCAAACTTAAAAACATTAGGATTTGTGTAATAATACTTGGGCAATAGATTTAATCTAGAATTCTTAATGTATGGGTCAGTGCATTTAAATAAATAATGAAATTCATCTCCTATTTCCTTGCATAAACACAAGTGACAAATTCTGTTTTCTCTTGCAATATTATACCATCTGCCTGTTTCAATTGGAAGCTTAGCATTACCAGTTCTAAAAATACAATATTTCATAGAAAGTTTAGGAGGTAAATTCAACAAGTATTTCTCAAATGTTATTGACGTTTTAAACAATCTATAATTAAGACTTTTTGGTGAATTATACATATCACTATACCACAATTGTTTAAATTGATCTACAAGAATATTTTGCACCTTATTCTTTAACCATGTAATATTAATAGAGTTTTGTTGCCATACATAAGCCAATCCACACTCATTCAAAATATTTTTAACAGCATTACACCATGGTATATCATAATTTTTTAACACAAATAATAGTTTTGATGACATTTTAGTGCCTTGTGATACCACAAGTTTTGCCCAGAAAGAAATCATACGAGTTTTAACATTAATAGATAGAGGATATCTACCAAGTTCTCCATACACCATAAAATTAGGCGTGGAAGACCTAAGATTTAATATATGCTTACAAAATTTTAGATGAAGTCTCTCTATAAGAGCAACATTACAAAATCCCCATATTTCACAACCATATAACAAAATTGGTTTCACTATTTTGTCAAACATATCTAGTTTACAGTCAATTGAAAGATTATGTTTTCTACATTTTCCAAGAACACCATACATTGCTTTTGTAGCTTTTTCATACATATCCTTAATATTCAAATTAAAAGATCCACTTTTAC